TGGGCTTGTGGCAAAAAGCAAACTTCTGGCTTCTCCTCAGAAGCCAAGGAGCGAGGAAGGAGGCTCCTCTACTGCGGGCGGAGAACAGACACTCGGACTGCCCTCGGCAGCTGGTTTTTGAAAGGAGTTGAGGTAAATTCTTGTGTTTGTTCCAGATAGGAGATGGGTTTTTAACATCAAACCTTTCTTGTTTAATAAAGAAAGAAAACTCCTTAAATTATTTGCTGAGGATGCTCATTGTCAAATAGGAGAAAGAAACGGTTAAAGATCACTATGGGAGCAGATGGGAGATTTCAGTGATAATCTGCCTTCAGTCTAGACAGAATTCCTTTTTATTTTTGCAATGTATATTGAGGGATCAGAGATTCAGCCTGATCTTCACAGTTTTCCTGAAACATTGCTGTGCTGTAACTTGCTTTCTTGGTTTGATAGTTAACGCAGGGGGATCTAGAGTCCTCCCTGTATCAGAATGTGATAGGGCGATACACCAGCTCTGTAGGTAGCTCCCCATAACCCATTTGTTCCTGATCACACCAGCAATGTCAAAAGTTAAATTTTTAAATTGCGCTTGAAATTATTCTCCAATAAGATGTAAAATACATTGCAAAATAGTATCTCACAGAGAGAATTTCTTTTCCCCAGAAGAAATTTGTTTTCTTTTCTTTTACCTTAAGAATCATCTTATTCACAAACTGAAATCCAGAAGAAAAAAATTAAAACATTCCAAGTGAATCATGCAGCTAGGTGTGATTGAGTTAATGTTCATGTATTGCACTTCACTGGAAAAAAAACAGCAAGTTTGCAGAATAGGAAGAAAGTTTAAGGATGAAAACTTAGTTACAAAGCAGTTGTGCACAGAACGCATTTCCCTGCAAGCATGGTAATTTTGCAATTTTTTAATAAAAGCAAAAACTTCTTTTGATGATAAAGTCTAAAATCCTCAGCTCAAAAATTACTTGTATAAAATTCAAGTGATGCCAAATTTTCCGGTTCTGCCAAAAGCCTTCCAATTTTATTTGAATCAAACTATGCTTAGAAATAATGAAACACACAAATCAGAAGGCTCTTTTTCCCTTTGGAATTTTAGCAAGGTTGAATACTAAAAGTTCTCCTCACCCATAAACATCTGCAAATGAGTGTTTTACTCCACTCTGGCTTTCTGGCAAAGAGCACCCCTGCCATGAGGCTTGTTGCGTCAGTGACATCCTGTTGCTCTGTTCTCTTCTTGACGGATAAACACGAGCTGCTTGCATTAAATCCATCCAAATTAAAAGCATGCAGTGATGCAGTAAGTCTGCCCTTTCAATTATCGGCTAATCTGTTATTTATGTAGCGCTACAGTTGTGCATAAATACACATAGCACTGTGTTGCTCCCATACACTGTTTGTACAATCCTACAGTAGTAATGAAGCAGCCCAGGGACAAAATGAAGCTAAATGCTTAAATAAGAGGCACAGACCCGTTACTGAGTTAAAGCCGCTATCTGCAAAGGGCATAAACTTGGCAGTATTTGTTCAGCTTCTGTGGCAGATAATTAAAGAGTAATCTCCGAAGCAGCTACTGTACTGAGGCCAGCAGAAAACTCTTGCTATTTGGTGCCCCAAAGGTGCCAGCAGAGATTTGATCGATTCTTGTTACTGTCCTCAGCGGTTAATCAAGGTGTCTTTTAGGGCTGGGTGTATGTATATGTGTGTCTGTACAGACAACCAGCTTTAAAGAGCTTGAAGGCTGTGACTGCTCAGGCCTTTCATCAGCCCGATGGTGATTGCCTCAAGCAGGTAGAAGTCTGCAAGGAAACCTGGCCCAACACTGACCTCTGCCCCGCTTAATTATACATGAGGGGCAATTTACACAGCTAAGCTTGGCTTTTCCTCACACTTATTCCTAGCAGGTCCTAAGTATGACGGTTCTTCCCGTATTTCTGTTTGTCAGCTGCTGTTGTTACTTACAGAAGTGTCGCACAGAGTCATGCAGCTGGTTCGTACTGTCATTAGCTGAACTCTCCCTGGAGGACAGAGCAGACTGCCGGGGAGCCCTTTGGCCCGTGTCCGTGCTCACCTGCACCTGCAGGGGGACGGAGCGGAGGTGGCGCCCGGTCTCCGTGCGGCCGTTTGGGCCTGCGCTGCCCCGCGCTGCGGGCGCTGGGGCTGCGCTCAGGCTGAAGCAAGATGGGGTCGCAGCAACGGAGGGCGCGAAGCAGCCAGAGGGCCCCTCCAGAGGAGCGTGACCACCGGAGTGGCAAGCAGCGAGTAACCAGTGTAAAACGGAGAGTCGAAAATCCCGAGGGAGCTGGCAGCGAGGCAGAGCTCCCAGTCCAGGCTGTTGCTGTTCTGGGGACTCAGCAGAACAGCAGGATTGCTGCTTCCTCGGCCCTTTCTGCGTGCGGCCTTGGCTTGGCCAAGTCAAATTATGAGACTGCAGCACCTTTTTAAAAAGCTAATGTTCAAATTCTTAAGGCTATTAAAATATGTTGAGTAAGAGCACACTGGAATAGGAATCTGGATCAAGGCAGCATGTCCAAGTGCAGAACTGTTCTTAAGTATTCTATGCGTAGAAGTTTTGGAACAGTTGTAGACGTTCCCCCAAACTGGAAGACTAATGCTACATTAAGTAGAATAATTTGATAAGCCTGTCAACCTGGTAATGATTTTTCAGTGATAATGGAAGAGTTTATATGGGAATCTTGTTCAAAAATTAATATAAGGTATTTAACATCTGTCAGCTTGTGCTCATGGAACTTGCCAAGACCGCCCCCGTAACCTCACTTGAAAAAATGTTTGTTTGGTGAAGGTAACACAGATGTAGAGGACTCTTTACAAAGCATTTTATTTGAGAAGTGTTTTGATTGGAAATGAAATGGCAGAATATCAACAATTATGCACCCAGGATAGATGGGTGCAAGTGTCACCGGAGAATTAGCACAAAGCAGACATCCCTTGTAGCAGTTTCATTTATTCATAGCTCTATGATCTCTGCTATGAACACTTTGGAAAATAGAAAATCATTATTTGATAGAGTTTGTAGATGATAACAGATTAGGCATGGTTAGAAAGACAAGAAAGTTGGACAAAAATAAAGAGCAGGTGGAATTAAAAAAGGCTTCATTCAGGTGTCCGAAGGAAGCTAGTAGAAATAAAACGGATAAATCTAGGGAAAGTAAATGCAAAAGTACAAGAAAGGAGGTCCAAAACATTCTGAGGAAGTACTTGCAATGGAAACTTACAGCTCACATTAGACTTTTTAGGACAGATCAGGACCAGGATGCCTGGCTCAGCAAAGGGCCAGGGGTGCTCAAGATAACTCTTTGGGTGTGGAAGTGCTCAGAGAATAAAGGGTATATCAGAAAAAACGTGGCAGATTTTTGCATGAATTTTCAGTTCAGTTCAGGGGTCCTTACAGGAACCTTCTGTGTATGGGCAATGGCAGGGGATTTGTCTCAGACTGAGGTGTCAGTAAAGAAGCTATCCCTAAAATGAGCAGTAACGAATTCCCAGGAGGAAATGGTATTTGTGGGGGGGCTCCGGGCCTGTTGAAGGATAAATTAGCCAGATTTCTAATTGTGATGTGCAACTTCTCATAAAACATGATACTAGAGAAGTGGGGGTAGCCCATTTTGTGCCAGTTTTTAACAAAGTTTCAGGGTAGAGCTAGGGAATGTACTGACAAAAAAAAAAAAAAACTGCTATTTTTACTGACTGTATTGGCAAGAATTGTAATGCAGCCCTTAGCCTTGGGGCAAAAAACAAAGTTTCTTTGAACAAAAGCCATGCTTCATAAATGTGCTGGTTTGCTTGAACTTCATGTGCCTTTCAAAGGGGTCTTGAAGGATGTAATCTGACAGGATAAGAAGGAAGGTCCTTGCACGGATAAATAATTAAAAGACAGGAAAAAAGAGTGGGCAGAAATGTTACTTTTACAGTGAGGAGATTATCAGTGCTTAGCTTACACAGTTCAGTATTTCTAAATGAAGCGGGAGAAGGAGACAATGAAGGGTTAGTTTTGATAAGGATGGGTTAGTTGAACTTGGGAGTGTTACGGTACATAGGGCACTATAGGCACGTGCCCTATAGCCTGAGGGCGCTGTGAGGCAGCTTTGCACGGTGTCATGTGTTTGTAGCTGCGTGTCCAAGCATCCTGGAAAGGGCAGGGAGCCTCTGGGCAGGCGCTGCCTGTGGGCTACCGGCAGCACAGGCGGCAGATGCACCCGTGGCACTCGTGGAGGTGCTAGTGCACCCGGGTGGCGGGTAGGCCTGTGCTCCTCCTCTGTATTTGGTCAGTTTGTTTTAGCAGACGGATTCCCTGCTTCTGCTGGCAGAAATGAAACGGTGCTGGGCTGCTGCTGCCACTGATGTGCTTTGGATGGCAGCCACTCTCAGCAGTTGCTGTTTTGGGACTTCCAAGAAGAGACCACAGTGATCATTTCAACCACAATTATTAGTTGCGTCTTCAGTATCAATGGCAGAATTGCTGAAATAATGCTTCTCATTAAGAGTCTTCTTTCACTTCAGGCTTGAAAGTGTCTCTCAATCCAGCTAGGATCCTTGGGGAATACCTTGGTTGCACAAATGTGAGAGTCAGTTGTCACACTGTGAGACAACCTGTATGAGTAGGAAGAAAACACTGTTTCTCTTAGCAGTACTGAGGTAATGCTGCTAAAGGAGGGAGTCAGCATTAGAACCACCTGTGAATTTCCAATTAGGAGACCAGGCAGAGCCATAGGAATTTCACAGATATCCTCAGGTGTGAAACGTGAACTGGGGCGCCTTCAGCAGCACTGCATGAGACCAGCTTCATGTCGCTGTGAGGGTGTCGGGTGAGTTCGCAAAGCTGGTGTCGAGGCCATGGGGCAGGTGATTTCCAAGGAACTTGACTGTGGGGTCTGCTGCTGCCCCAGTGAAGTGCAGCAAGCGCTACACGTCCGTATCGAACCACACAGGTCCCGCGTCAGACAAAAACAAGGTGGTCAATTTATTATATTCTGTCCTTGATTTGTCGCTAGGAGGAACCTGTTTATGTTGACGGGCAGGCGCTGGACGTGCACATTACCTGGCTTAAGCGAGAATACCTGAAAGCTCAGAGGAACTGGGAGGAGGTGGACAGCAGGATGCGTGCGACGAGCGGAGTGCGCAGGAAGATGATCGATGACAAGGCACCGTTAAAAGAGATTCTCAGACTCTTCCCTTTCCTCAGATGTCCTTATCAGGTAAGCCCATTTCAGATGATTCAACAGTCCTGTATTAAATAAGTCACACAACAGGAGTGGGATATTTGAAATACTTTGTTATTTTATGCATCTCTTCACCACTTGGAAGAGAAACAAATCATCTCCTCCAGTTTATAATCTTATTTTACTCAGCTAGTCTTATCCTGTTTTCGAAGCATGCATGTCATTTGCTGTTTTCAGTTTTGGTTTTGAGAAGTGCATTAATATCTTTTTTCTTACAGCTTTTTAGGGAGTTCCAGCTTCTCACGCACACGGACATTTATAAGAAAACAGTAGAGATTTTGGAGACTTACTCGGAGAACATACTCTCTCTGCATGTGGTGAGGAATAATCCAATTAACATTATGCTGCAAGAAAATCTGAAACTCCACGCAGAGGAAGACGTTCAGAAATGTCAGTACAGATCGTCTCCGCGCTGTTCGTCCTGCGTCTCATAGCGGCTAATTGCTCTTACTGCGTAACTAACCCAGCTCCAGTTCTGCTGCAGATACATTTTAACATTTCACAGTTGCTTTGAGCAACACAAACTGATGGGAAAGCATTAAGAATAAAAGCTAATAAATTAGAGGGGAAATTAACTGAGTAATTTAGGTATTGAAACTATTTCTACTGAATAAGTAAAAATGCAGGTTTGATAGAGTTAATGACTGCCCTAAAATAATTATTAAGTGAGCAGAATTATTTACGTATGGGTATGCAGAATTTTGCTTATTATTTTCAGAAAAATCCATGGAGATTCCATCTGTTTCAGAAAAAAAAAGTCGTTGAAAAAAGGCTTTCCTTTGGAAAGAAGTACATCCAGCTGTGGATGGTGTTTTTTTTTGTTTTGTCTTTTTCTTACACAGTATGTTCCCAGAGGTCATAAGAACTCAACCTTCAGTTTGAAGTCACACCATCATTAATGCGTTGGGTCTTTGATGACCAGCCTGCCTTGGGATGGCTGCGCGGGCGGTGCCGGGGTGGTGGTTACGC